ATTAAATGAGTAAATTAAATGCTCTCTTCACCTACATTTAAAACTAGACCTTTTAGTGAGGACCATCCCCCTTCCCTTCAGCACTTAACCCACTCTCCATTTCACCACATCAATATCTTATTATAAGTCCTCGCCTTCCAACTCTAGTGCCAGAGACACTCAGAAATATTTCCAATTGATTCCAAAACAAAATCTTTTTATATATTTCAAATGCCTCTCAGGGTTGAGAAGTTGCTTCAATCTAACCTCAGCCCATCCTGATGCCTTGTTAATGTACATCCTTTTGTTTTATCCTCAGGAGCCATAGATAAAGCTATTTCTAATTTGAAGTTTGCTATAAAAATGAGGCATCAAGATTCTAGGGAAAGGGAAAGATGCCAACTCCAGGCTGAGGTCATGATTTCATTTAAGGAGACTTTGTTAATCTTCCCAGTGATGATGCAAACTCCCTGAAATGATGCTCGAGTTGGGCCTGGGCGGGACTGGTCTCATTACCCTGCCACAGTTCTGTGAGGGAAGGAGCTGGAAACCAAAAGGGGCCTGATAGAAGGGCCTTCACCAGTGACACAAATGATGGGGGCATGTGGATAGGATTAATCAAATCAACAAATATTCCTAGATGCAAGGGTCTCTGCTAAACAGAATAGAGGATGCAAAAAACTGTAAGAGGCCCTTCCCTGCAAACTTCACTAGGACTCAGTTTCCTCATTTGAAAAGTGGCTGAGTTGGGCTCCTCCCCAAAAGTATCCCAAATGTAAACAAGAATGTCTGCACACCCACCCCATCCCCTGCCTCAGGCATTGGGCTAAGAAAACTACTACAAATGAGAAACTTATTTGTGGTTTGCCTTTAACAAGCCCATGCAAAGTTTGCATTTAATGCCACGGTATATTCCAAGTTGTTTTAGCATATACATTATGGCTTTTCTCTCAAATATTCGAATGAAATTGATATCCCAGAAAAATGCTCCAAACATACCCTATGACTTATGGGGCCCGGGTGGAAAGGTTTGTACTCCTAGGGGTACTCATTCTCTACCAGGAAGAGCTCAGAGCTGGATAAGGTCTGACATCCTTTCTAGATCTAAAATTCTGTTATTCTAAATGATATCAGTGTATTAGATTCCTAGTGCTGCCGTAACAAAGTACCCCCAACTGGGTGACTTGTAAGAACAGAAATTCATTGTCTCACAGTTCTGGAGGCTAGTGGTCGAAATTCAGGGGGTCAGAGATGTTGATTCATTCTGAGAGCTCCGAGGGAGAATCTGTCCCTTGCCTCTCTCCTAGCTTCTGGTGACGGCTGGTGGTCCTTAGTGTTCCTTGGCTTAAAGATGCAATGTTCCAATCTCTGCCTCTGTCTTCACATGACCGTCTCTTCTCTGTGTCTCTCTCTCTCTCTTTTATAAAGACACTACTCATTGGATTAGAACCCACTCAACTCCAGTATGAACTCATGTTAACTGACAACATCTTCAAAGACCCTATTTCCAAACAAGGTCGCATTCACAGGTACCGGGGGATAAGACTTCAAACTATCTTTTTGGGGAACACAACTCAATCCATAGTAATCATAAATAGTATGTGCAGATATATTTGAATCTAAGGGCATACAAATTCAACTGACTTTTTCAAAAGCTGAACCTACCCAGTGGTTTCTCAGGAGAAAGATCTGATAATCTGCTCCTTAAAGATTACAGCCTAGAAAATCCCATGAGGCAGTTCTACTCTGTCACATGGGGTTGCTATGAGCTGCAACTGACTTGATGGCACTTAACGACAATAACAACAACAACCAAATAAAACACATGTATAGACCACATTCACCCACCAACTCCTAGTTCTCAGACTGTATGGGCCTAGGAATCTATATTTTCAGGAAAGTCCCCAGAGGACTCTTATGATCAATCAACTGGAAACCCTGAGATAAGGTATGTGAGAAGTCTTCATAAACTGTAAAACCTGTTACAAATGGTAGCCATTATCACGGGTAGGCATAATAGTCCCTGCTGTCTGTGTCAATTAAAAAAAAAAAAACCATCGCTGTCGAGTTGATTCCGACTCATAGCAACCCTATAGTACAGAGTAGAACTGCCCCATAGGGTTCCCAAGGAGCGGCTAGTGGATTCAAACTGTTGATCTTTTGGTGAGCAGCCAAGCTCTTAGCCACTGTCCACCAGGGCTTCTGTCTGTGTCAATAGGGTGCTTTAAATGAGATAATGCATATTGCTTTGTGAAATTCAGGAATGGAAGTTATCAGACTAGCAGGTGTAGAGGCAGCTGTGACTCTCTCTTCCTCAGTCAGCCTCATCACAGTGGTGGATGAAGTGTGCAGACGTTCTAAAACCTCTATAGCCTTGGAGAAAGGCACAGCCAGCTTGGAAGAATACACTCTCCACTTCTTGCCTCTTCCTCTGGGTAGCTGAGACCCAAGACTGTAAGCTGTTCTGATTCAAAAACAGTAGAAACGCCAAGGGCCTCTCTCTTCTTCACTTATTCTAGGACTTCTTTCAAGAGAGAGATCTGACCAAAAAAAAAAGGGACACAGATTGTAGTCAAACCTTATAAAGATGGCTGTCCTGAGACCAGAAGAACTAGATGGTGCCCAGCTACTGCCAACGACCACCCTGACAGGGAACACAACAGAGAGTCTCTGATGGCACAGGAGAAAGGTTGGGTGCAGAACTCAAATTCTAGTAAAAAGACTGGACTTAATGGTCTGACTGAGAGAGGAGAAACCCCAGAAGTCATAGCCCCCAGACTCTCTGTTAACCCAGAACCAAAACCATTCCCGAAGCCAACTCTTCAGACAAAGAATAGACTGGACTATAAGACATAAAATGGTACTTGTGAAGAGTGTACATCTTAGTTCAGGTAGATACATGAGACTAACAGCTCCTGTCTGGAGGCGAGATGAGAAGGCAGAAAGGGATAGGAGCTGGTTGAATGGACACGGAAAATCCGGGGTAGAAAGGAGGAATGTGTGGTCACATGGTAGGGATAGCAACTACGGTCACATAATAATGTGTGTATAAATGTTTGTATGAGAAATTAACTTGAGCTGTAAACTTTCACCTAAAGCATAATGAAAAAAAATAAACAACAAAAAAAAGATGGCTGTCCTTGCTTGTCCTGGGTCTCTCCTAGCCCCAGCCAGGCTCCCAGGGCCCTGTGCATAGTGTCTGTTTACAAGGATGCTACTCTCCAAGAGACTCCATTTCTTGAGCCTCTCCTGACTTGCTTCCTTATCAAGACTTAATGGTCCAGGGTTCTATTCTTTTGGAGTGTGGCCAATTAATATGATAAATTATGTTTAGGGAACTAAATTGGGAGTTTTGTGAAGGCAAATTCATTCAGGTTTTATTAGTTTCTAGGCCTCTACCCCTACCTTAAGGAGCCCTGGTGCCACAGTTGTTAAGCGCTTGGCTGCTAACCAAAAGATTGGTAGTTTGAACCCACCAGCCGCCAGCGGCTCCATGGGAGAAACGACCTGGCAAACTGCTCCCGTAAAGATTAAAACAAACAAAAAAACTCCTCTGCTGAGTCGATTTGGACTCATATCGACCCTGTAGGACAAAGCAGAACTGCCCCATAGAATTTCCAAGGCTGTTATCTTTACGGAAGCAGATTGCCACATCTTTGTCCTGGGGAGCAGCTGGTGGGTTCAAATCACTGATCATTTGGTTAGCAGCCGAGTTGTTAAACACTGCACCACCAGGGCCTCTCCGTAAAGATTACAGCCTAGGAAATCCTATGGGCCAGTTCTACTCTGTCCTATAGGGTAACTATGAGTCAGAATCCACTCGATGGCAATGGTTTTTGTAGGAACCCTGGTAGTGCACTCGTTAAGCACTGGACTGCTAACTGAGGGTTGATGGTTCAAACCCATCCAGTGGCTCCGAGGGAGAAAGACCTGGTAATCTGCTCCTGTAATTACTACAGTCAACAAAATCCTGTGGTGCACTTCTAATCTGTTACATTGGGTAGCTGTGAGTTGAAATCGACTTGAGGGCACACAGCAACAATCCCTACTTTAATTTCTGGCTCACATTTGGGAGGTTGAGATGAAAATCAATTTGACATTAAACGTGAAAAGGTGGCAGGGTTTCAGAACATACTGGCATTTCAAAAGTTCCCTTTATTCATTCAACAAGTGTTTGAGTGCCTACTATGTGCAGGGCATATTCAAAGAGGTGGATATAGAGAGTGGTTTTCAAACGTTAGTGTATTTCAGCATTACCTGGAGGACTTGTTAAAAACACAAAGTGCTGAATCAGATTCTGTTTCAGGTGGGCCCTGAGAACTTGCATTTCTAACAAGTTCCCAGGTAATGCTGATGAATCATCACTAAAGATGCTGGTCTGGGGCTACACTCTTAGAACCACTGGTAGGGCCTCGTAGGACGTATAGTCTAGGGTGCTTAGGCCAAAAAGACTGACGGTGGAGATTTCAGTCATCTTGGCAAGTCAGTGGGGAAAACACGCAGGAGGCAGAAACGCCTTTGGACCCCCTTAAGCTGCTGTCTGTGCCTGCAACCTCCAGAGTCACCCACAAACTGACAAGAACTCAGATGTGCTGCGCCGCTCTCTGGGGACAGCCAGAAACGAGAGGGCCGGAAGACCTAGCCTAGCGCCCCGCGAGCAGCGGCTAGGCGGAAGAAAGGAGCCGGGGATTTAGGAATCCTTCCTGGGCAGGCCTCTGCCGGAGGAGGGCACATGAAGCGCCCTCCCCCTTCCAGGCCCCGCCTGCGCTGGCGCGGGGCTAGCGGTCAGGGCGGCGGCGGCGAGAGG